TCCATATAAAATCCCACCTTAAAGCCATCTGCCGTCATCCTCTGTTCAGCACTTCTTTCTGCCCTAGAGTCTACCTGATTTTCTGCAGTATTAAGAGCATATTAGGAGCACAAATATCTAATCTCTAAATTCTGATGTCAAATAAGAATTTAATTTTAAATCTCTTCCTCTTCTACATAGGAGTCAATTCAGTGTGGCTCCCTGTGAGCAAACCAAAGAGTCCTTCTCTGTGGACCACGCCCACCATGAGAAAAGGTGTGTTGTACTATAAAATGATAATCTTTCAGACTCTGGTCCATGGTACAACTCCCAAGAACTGCTACAGGACACCACTTCAAGCAACTAAGTTCACAGGAATGTGAAGGCAAGACAGCTGGGTAGACATGGATAGCTATGCAAATCAGGAGCCCAAAGATGGCACATGTGAAACTTGGAAACGCTTAGCATTATAATAATACATAATATACACTGACGACAGCTTGCTAGCTCTCGTAAAGTGAATGAAGGGAACTAACTCACCATTTTAGTTGCTACTATAAAGAAATTTTGTTATTATTTCACAAAAACCCTTCTACTTGTATTAGAATATCACAATGCATTTTCAGAAGCTTAGATGTAGAATTAACTAAGACACAGAAATGTATATTTATCTAAGTCAAAGGACTTAGACTTTACAAAGACTTATTTGTAAAGTACAGAATCAAATGCATGGCTAATACTTATTTTCTCGGATATTACTAACATAATCACTCCTGACCTACAGACAGGACAAGCACTGTGAGATTATCCCAATCAGGCTATCAAGCCTTCACTTTGAGTCAGAATTGCTCTCTTTAATTAATCAGTGCTAACCAGTGGCGGCGGGGAGGGATCACCAAATTTTAGTAGCAACCCAAGCTCTAAATCTAATAAAGGTAAACAGGCTTCAAGAAAAATACATGATGCTTTTTCTCCAATTTGGATTACCCATGCCAGGCCTCCCTTAGCATGAAGGGAAAAGTTAAAGAATTAATTATGTATTCTTGAGACTAAAGAATAACAAATAAAGAGAATCAGTTCCTTAAAGGAAAAAGGGGGCAGGATCTGGAGTCAGAAGACCCACATTTGAGTGTTAGTGCCAAAACTTAATTTCCAATCTTACTTAAGTGAGTCGCTGAACCCTGCAGAGTCCTCGACTTCCTCCTCGGTCCGGTGGCTGTTGTCACTGACCTGCCCCGCGTGGCTGGCCTAAGTTATCAGACACCATATATTTGAACATGCTGTAGAGGGTGCATTAAGATAATTATACAGATGTGAAAGAAGACTTTCGAGCACACCTTTTGTGAGTTCTGTGTTTGGATACTTAATACCCTGTGACACAGCTCTAGATTGTCCCAGGGATTTTTATAAAAATAAAATAAGAACTCAGAACATTTTACAAATCACCAGTTCTTATTGCTGTACTTACGACTCCTTAATGCTTATTTTTGCCACATATGTGACTATCATGATTTTTTGTTTCACAAAAGGAAGGTACAACCATTCACAGCTTTTTCTTCCCATAAATTTCTTTAGTTACAGTGGCTGAATGACCTCCGAATTTAACTATGTTAAACAGTCCATAAAGTACCTCTAAAGGACTTAAATTCTTATAGAGCACAATCTTTTCACTCTTGGTCACTGAAAGAAAAAAGAACAACTCTCCTCAGAATAAGAGGAAACGATATAGCTATTGTCTCACGAAACCCCAATGTGCAAATAGATAACTCCATATCTCGTGCAGTCTTCTCTCCTAAGCTCCAGACTCATATACCCAACACCTAAGAGATGTCTCCACTTAGCTGTCTCATGGACACTTTAAACTCAACATGGCCAAATCAAACTCATCTTCCCTCTCCAGGTCTTCCCTTCCTGAAGATGCTTCCTTTCCCAATAAACAGCACTATCATCTTTCCAATTGCTGCAGTCAGTAATGCTGGAGTCATCCTTGATTCCTTTCCCCTTCTAATCCTCTACCCACACCTAAGTCTCAAGAACTGCTTATTCTTATACCTCCTAAACAGCTCTCAAAAATTGTCCACTTCATACCATTTTACCTGCCACCACCCTAGTCCAAGCCACCCAGTCTCTTAACCAGACTGTCGTAATAGCCTCCTAACTGCTTGGGTCCACCCTGCGGCCCTTTGACAACTGGTTCTCACAACTATCACGGCACTTTGCTTAAAACTCCACTGTTTCCAAACTCCTATTTAAGAGGCTGCAAAGGACTCTTACAATCTGCTCCCTGCCTACTCCTCTAGCCTTGCTCTCCTCCTCCTGCATTCTATGATCCAGCCATGTGAGTCAAAGACTGATCATTGTACCCCAATCTCCTGTTCCCCTCTTCCTCAGTAATTGCATCCTAATCCTGATTTTTAGCTGAATAAATGGCCAGGAAATAAGGCTCCTTCCCAGTCTCCCTTGCAGGTAAGTGTGGCCATGTGACTGGGTTTGGGCCAATGGGATGTGAGCCATGCCCCTAAGAGAGGAGGTGTGGCCCTCTCCTTCCCTTTTCCCTCTCCTGCTGGTTGGAAAGTGAAAAGTGACAGCTGAAGGAGCCATTTGGATCACCAAGTGGAAGGTGCCTGCAGAGGATGACAACACAAGATGGATGGAGCCAGATTTCTGATGACTGTGAAACTGCCATATCAACCCTGGACTCTTACATAAGCAGCTTTATTGTGTAAAGCATTGATGCACTGAGTTTTCTGTCCCTTGAAGCAGTTTTGCCTAACCCTAATACATCATACCATCCTTCCAGATTCTCCATTCTCTGGACTCTGGACTTGTGCATGCGATGCCCTCTGCGTGAAACACTAACTCCTCCTGCTCTTTGTGTGCTTGCATCCTTCAAATCTGAATGTTACTTCTCAGGCCAGTCTTCTTCCACTTCCCGGATGAGGTTAAATACTCCTGCTATTTTTTTCCTTACGCTTTCCCTTGGATAATACTCACCACACCGATAATTGCCGGGTTAACGTGAGTCTCTTTCAGTACCACATACTCTTTAGGAGCAAGTCATCCAAGTGCTTGGCACTCAGTATAGGCCCATCAAATATTTGCTTAATGAATGAATGAATAACGTCATAGCCCTTGAGTGATTTCTGGACCACACCTTGAGGACTTCCTGATCTCACATTAGAGGACTCCACTAAACTCCACCTGTAGCTCTATTCCTGTCAGACACTCTCACAATGTAAATAGTGTTTCTCTCCATTCTCTTCTGGACAATTCCAAAATGTGTCAACTCCTTCAGCAGATCTGCAGAACGCTCTCTGCACTGCTTCATTTTCTCACAATACTCCTAGGACTAGAGTGGAAAGTAGTATGTGTTCTCTTAAAATTAAAAAAAAAAAGAATCGAGACCCATCACTAACTAATATGATCATTGTTTTCAACAGCTGAGGTGACTTAAAGGTATTTGTTTAAAGGAAAATATAAGAACCAAATAAACCACATTATTTGGATTCTGGCCAAGTACAGGAAAACATTCTTAAAATATTTTAGAAGCCTCTGGTTTTAGAGTGCACATCACTTTTTAATGGCATTATAGGTACTGTCACTTCACTGCTTTATGTATTCACCCTTCATTGACACTAAAGATTCTACATGGCTTACTCATTTCCACAAATTAAGCACCTGTTTCTTATAACATTGTGGTGTTAATGAAATAGGGTCTCAGGAAGGAGAGAGTGGGACATAAGACAAACAAACATTAAGAGATCTGAATGACAGTCTCAGTTCTGCCAATGACTCACTGGGTGACCCTGGATCGGTTCTCTTCTTAACTCTTAAAATATTCAGTACAGATAATTCCTAAGATCCCTTCCAAGGAAAACATTTTGTTACCATATCAATTTGCTGCTACTGATTTAATAGAGATGACATTAGTGATTATGCCAAAGACTATATAATTACAAGTATTCACAGGAAACCTGGTACTTGCCTATCAGTTCTATGGAGGTTTAAGTAAGTCTAAAATATGGTTCTTCAAGGATCTAAAAACAAACGTGTATTTTGGAAAAGCAAATTTTTGCAGGACGAGAATGGCCTTTAGAATATGAGTTTTTCCAGTATATGTTATTCTCCTCCCACATTTGTCAGGCTCCCACACTGGATTCAGAAGGTGCTGTGCAAAAAGCCACTTGTCGGTAAAACAGAATGGTTTTCACTGCCACTCCCTTGATTGCTACATCCCTTTTCCCTTAAACTGTTCTGGAGCCTGATCAGGAAGCTCCAGAGAGCAGGCGATCCAGCGTCAGGCAAGGGCACAAATGTCTGTACTACAACAAGCAAAGGCATCTGGGCTTGTCCAGTTCTTCACAGCAAGGACGGCCTACTCTAGGCTTTCCACACCTCTAGTAACGATTAGAGAGATTCGTAGCCATCTCCCGGAGTGAACAGGCTGGAAGCGTCCCATGTGGGTCCCGGCACCCCATGCTCCCATTCTTGGAACCTGCGGATCCTATGGGTTCCTGCCCGGCCTCTCCAAAGACACCGCCCACCCCTTCACGCCCTTGGGGGGGACCGCCCTGCCCCCGCCGTCGCCAGCCAGCTCTGACCTCCTCGAACTGCTCGCCCGAGCAGCCAGCGCCGCGAGCCTCCAGCAGCTCCCGGAACTGATCCAGGGTGACGGACTCTTCGCCGCGGCCCAGCCGCTCTTCCAGCCAGCGCAACAGAGCGCCGTGGTGCCTAGACACCAGAGACTCGAAGGGCGGAGCGGGCCGCAGCGCAGCCGCCGCCTCTCGCAGCCGGGCTGGCTCCAGCAGCGCCGCGGCGGGCGGCAGCGCCGGGGCCGCGGGGCCCGGGCCGGGAATCGTGCCCGAATCCGCGACCCAGTCCTGGTGCGGGCCCCAGCCCTCACCCCCGGCGGCTCCCGCTTCGTCTTCACTGCTGTGACTCGAAGCGTTCCCCATGGGGTCTCCGTCTCGGGCGCCCGGCTCTGCAGCCGCCGCCGCCGCCTCCCCGCCTCGACCTGTCAACCTCCCACTGCACCCGGCGGGCGGGGACTGGGAGGGGACGACGGCGGCGGCTGTGGCTTCCGGCTTCCTCGCCGTCAAGTGAGGACTGCTGTCGCAAAGGCGCCGTCAAGCGGACTCTACCAGCTGTCGTGAGAGCTAGCCGAGGACACCCTCAGCAAAGGGTGGAGCCTTGATTTCCAAGAGGGCGCGTCTGTCATGACGTCTGCATCATCCCGCAGCCTCCTTTGCCACCATCTTTGTTGGGGGCGGACGAACTGCAATCCAAGGAGGCCTTTCGCTGTTCATTTTCGCGGCGTCCCTCCATGTTCAATAGCTATGCTGAAAAAGTAGGAGGACGAGTCGGCGCCAGGGAGTGAACTTTTCACCAAGACTTTTTCCTTTCAATCCTCTGATGTCCCCTTAGTGACAGGAGTACATAGGCGTCGCGATGGTGACGTCACGGCTGCGTTTCCGCCGTGTTAGTTATGGACAGAGAGGCGGCAACTTCGGAAGAGCGGAGGCCTGCGGCTGGATCGATGCTGAGGCTCGGCCGGCGTGGGCTCCTGCTGGGCCTGGCCGCGGCGGCGGCGGCGGTGATGGCAGCGCGGCTGATGGGCTGGTGGAGTCCCCGCGCTGGCCTTCGCCTTTTCATCCCGGAGGAGCTGGCCCGCTACCGCGGCGGCCCTGGGGACCCGGGCCTCTACTTGGCGTTGCTCGGCCGCGTCTACGATGTGTCCTCTGGCCGGAGGCACTACGAACCTGGGGCCCACTATAGCGGCTTCGCAGGTATCAGTGAGGCGGCTCACGCCTCTTCCAGCTCCGACGCGGGCCTGTAGCCGCCTGCGGGTCGTTGGTTCATTCATTCATCATTCATTCATCTGTATTTTTCCTCCCCACATTCATCAGAGTAGTCTGGGGGCCAGGCTCAGCTGCACCATCCTTCTGGTCTGTTTGACTTGGGCAGACTAAGGCCAACTCTTAGCGGCCTCTACCCTCCCTGTCGTTCCCCACCGCTTTTCGTGACTTAGGTTCGAGAAACACGTCTCCTGCCTCTGTTGATAATTACCCATCGCCCACCAGGAGAAGCCCCCGATACCTGCTTGTGCCAGACTGCATGGGTCTCGGGGCACAGAGATGAATGAGACCCTCTCCCTGCCCTCAGTGTTCTTCTGATTCCAATCAACTCTTGAATATGTCCCCATCCGAAGTCACCTTCCCCCCCGCACACACAGCAAGTTTCCCTAAAAGTAGTGGTTCTTACTTCTAGTACGGTTGCATTTGTCTGCCTTCCTTTAAAAAGAAGAGGAGGCTAGAGCGCAGGGAAGGGCTCTGTTCACTTTTACAGTCCTTCAGTACTTAGAACAAAGCTGTGCGTAGGTTAGGACTCAACATTTGTCAAGTGACGTTTGCTCTGCTGTCCTTATTTTACAACTGAGGGGACTGCTGGATATGCTTAGCCTAAAGCCCTCACAACTAAGTACTGACAGGACTTGGACCGGGACCACGAGCCGGTTACTTTTAGAGATGTTGCCTTACCAGCCCAGAGGAACGACCAAGCCTCAGATTAAAAAAGAAAAAACAAATGCCAAGCAAGCTTAAGAGTAGTGACTGGGCTGATATTAAATAAGCATTTTGCACTGATGAGGGGAATCGGAAAGCTGCCTCTGGTGCTTAAATACAAGTGACTTCCCTGTCTCTAGGGAGAACTTCAGAAATAGAAGCATAGGCAGAGAAGGAATTAAGTTCAGTCGGTGTTGCCGGGCTCCTCAAACAGTCCAGCAGGAGAAGGGACTTACCCAGGGCTACACAGTCAGTCAGCAACGCAGCTGGGACTGGCATCAAGGGTTTTATTTACCTGCCAGGTGAGGGCACTTTTTGGTGTGCTGTCCTGCCACACCCTGATGCAGCTGTCAGTTTTATGCACAAGTATGTGCATAAACTCCATTTCTGATGTGATTTTTCTTTCACAATCTGCTCTACTGTCTGTTCCTTTGTGCCCAATATTCATTCAACATCCATTTCTTGACCACTCCCATGTAGCCTGCCTTGTGCCAGGTGCTGAGGACTCAGATTATAATATGCGCCCCACCGCCCACACAGTCTAGCAGGGAAGCAGATATGTTCATTTATTCATTCGTTCATTCAGTCAATGTTTTTATTATTTTTTATTAAGATATAATTCACATAATATAAAATCCACCCTTTTAAAGTGTACAATTCAGTGGTTTTTAATATAATCAGAAATTTGTGCAAACATCATTATCTAATTCTAGAACATTTTTATCAAACCAAAAAGAAACCCCATATCCATTAGCATCACTCCCCATTCTTTCCTCTCCCCCACCCCTGGCAACCACTATCTACTTTCTATCTTTAAAGATTTGCCTATCCTGGCCATTTCATATAAATGGAATCCTACATGTGGCTGTTTGTGTCTGGCTTCTTTCACTTAGCATAACGTTTTCAAGGTTCATCCATGGTCTACGCGCATATATCACTACTCCATTCCTTTTTATGGCCAAGTAATATTTTATTGTATAGATAACCACATTTTGTTTATTCATCATTTGTTGGACATTTGGCTTGTTTCCACTTTTTCCCTATTATGAATAATGCTACCGTGAACATTTGTGTACAAGTTTTTGTGTGGACATATGTTTTCAGTTCTCTTGGGTATACACTTAATGGAATTGCTGGGTCATATGATAACTCTGTGTTTAACTTTTTGAGAAACTGCCAAATTGTTTTCTAAAGTGGCTGCACCGTTGTACTTCCCCATCATTAATGTATTAGAGTTCCAATTTCTCCACATCCTCACCAAACTTCTTATTGTCTTTGTGTGTGTGTGTTTTTAAGATTGGCACCTGAGCTAACATCTGTTGCCGATCTTTTTTCTTCTTCTTCTTCTTCTTCTTCTCCCCAAAGCCCCCCAGTACATAGTTGTATATTCTAGTTGTGAGCACCTCTGGTGTGCTATGTGGGACGCCGCCTCAGCATGGCCTGACAAACGGTGTCATGTCCGTACCCAGGATCTGAACCCATGAAACCCTGGGCCACTGAAGCATGTGAACTTAACCACTCAGCCATGGGGCCGGCCCTTGTGTGTGTCTTTTTGATTATAGCTATTTCAGTGGGTTTGAAGTGGTGGCTCATTGTAGTTTTGATTATTTGCATTTCTCTAATAACTAATGATGTCGAGCATCTTTTCATGAGCTTGTTGACCATTTATATACCCTCCTTGGAGAAATGTCTATTCAAATCCTTTGTCCATTTTTCAGTTGGGTTGTTTGTCTTTTTATTGTTGAGTTGTGAGAGTTCTTTATATATTCTGTATACTAGACCCTGATCAGATATATGATTTGCAAATATTTTTCTCCTATTCTGTAGGCTCTTTCCACTTTCTTGATAGTGATCGTTAATGCACAAAATCTTAAAATTTTGATCAAGTCCAATTTTTTTTTTGGTTGCTTGTGATTTTGGTGTCCTCAGAAACTACTGCCTAATTCAAGGTCACAAAGATTATACCTATGTTTTCTTCTAAGAGTTTTATAGTTTTAGCTCATACATTCAGGTCATTGATCTATTTTAAGTTAATTTTATCTATGGTGTGAGGTAGGGGTCCAGTTTCGTTCTTTTCCATGTGGCTATTCAGTTGTCCAAGCACCAGTGTTGAAGACTATTCTTTCCCTCACTGAATTGTCTTGGCACCCCTTACTGTAATTGTAATTGTAAATATATGTATTGTAATTGTAAATATATGGGTTTCATTCAGTTGATGTTTATTGAGAATTTACTAAATATCAGGCACCACCAGACACTGGGAAATCAATACTAAAGGAATTTGATGTGTTCTCTTTCCTGATGAAACTTGCAGACTAGTAGAAAAGATAGACATTAGTTATCACATAAACAATCAATGAATTATTTTTGTAACAGGTGTCAAACGGAAAACATATTGGTATTACCAGAGGTCCTAACGTAGTAGGGGAGGAAGGGGGAAAGGAAGGGAGCACAGTGGCAAGGCGAGCTTGGTGGTGGCTGGTGCAGGGCCCTGAATGGCATGTTAGGGAATTTGGACATTATCATAGGGCAAAAGGAAGCCACTGATATTTAAGCAAGGGAATGACATGATCAATTTGTGTTTAAACTATCAGTCTAAGTGTTATATGGAAAATAGATGAGTGGGGAAAGAGTGAATGTAGGGAGACCTCTTATGGGTTTACTGTCATAGTGCAGATGAGAGATGATGGCAGCTTGAGCTTGCTTAGTGGTAGATGGAGAAGGGTAGACTGACACAAAAACTATTTAGGTAGAAATTGTAGGACTTCGGGACTGATTGGATGCGAGGGATGAAGGAGGCATCCAGGACTGCATTTCTGGATTGAGCAACTGGTTGATGCTTACTGAGACAGGGAATACTGGAACAGATGCAGGTTTCTTGGGGCTGGGGGTACTGGTGACCATTAGTTCAGCTGGACATTTTGAACTTGTGATATCTGTAAAACATTTAAGTGATGTTGAGTAGACAATTGGATATACAGGTCTGGAGCTCAAGAGAAGTCTGAGCTAAAGATACAATTTGGCCGTCTTTAGCATGAAGGTAGTATTTGAAACCACAGGAGTGGATAAGGTTGTCAAGTGGAGGGTGTGGATGGACCAGAGAAGGTGGACAAGAACTGATCCCTGAGGCTGACAGAAAATGAACAATCAGAGGTAGGAGGAAAACCAAGAGTGGAGTGTCATGGGGGCCAAGGGATGTGGTCAGCTGTGGGAAATGTTGCTGAAAGTAAGTGAAAGAATGTGATCGATGCCAAAATGTGTGTTCAGGATCCAGGAGCATCTGTCACCGATTAGGGGGCATTAGCTATGCTTGCAGGGAGTGAGGGTTTTCAGGAGATGTTTCTCAGAACATAGATTCTTAAGTTGGCACAGTGTCGGTGGTTTACAAGTTAATCTATCGGAAACATCTCTCCCGCAGGCCGAGACGCATCCAGAGCGTTTGTGACTGGGGACTACTCTGCAGCAGGCCTCGTGGATGATGTATCTGACTTGTCATTTTCTGAGATGCTGACACTTCAGAACTGGCTTTCATTCTATGAGAAGAATTACGAATTCGTTGGTAGGTATTCCACAGGTCGTTCCATAGATTTCATGTAGTTGTCTTGCAATTTTTTTAACGGGCTAGAATTCTTTGGGGATTGGACTCAAGGTTAAAATCTGAAAACTACCCATTAGTTTTTCACCTTAAACTCTGGTTGTTAGTGTGGCAGTGAGCACCAGAAGGAAATGGCTGGGACACTTGTTTCCCTCACTCTTAATCTTGAGATAGGATTGCCTGGCCATTTACGTTGTCCTCTGTTACCCGAGAGCCAGTGGTTGCCTGTGCCACCCTTGAACAACCGGCTCCAGGAGGACAGCTTCCCTGTCTTGCTGTGTTCCAGGCATCAAGCCTCAGCAAACAGTCAGGAAGGCTTGAAGCCTGAGTGTGTGTGCAGTTTTGACAAATACCCTTTTATTTTGTCCTCTAAGGAGAAAAACATTAGCCTGTGTCCTGAATTAGCCTGAATGAATTGTCTCCCAGGTGGAAGTTAGCTAATCAAATCTTTGTTAAGGCCAGTTGTGTAGGGCACTGCACTTGCTCTGGTGGGACGTGAGGAAACTCCCCTTTTAAATGAGAAGACACCTAACGGTGTCCTAAAGAAATGTTAGACACTAAGCATCCCACTGGGATGTTTGGGGCCCTCTTTTCCCTCTCCTGCAGCCCTGGCCTCTCACTGAGCCCCACCTGGACACAGCTAACTTCCAGGGGAACATCAGTGTCCCTTCGCCGTTGGAAGAGGTCTAAACTGGAAGAGTTCTTTTTCTGCCCCAATGCCTCTGAATGTCTGCTTCTGTCATTACTACTTGTGTCACCTTTTCTAAGAACTTGGCATTTTTACTAGTTCCTCTGTTCCCTCCACATCCAACTGGCTAATGCTTTTTTCATAACATCTAAAGTTCTTTCTGTTTCCAATCTCCCCTACACCCACCATTGTTGGCCCTTGTCATTCCAACCTGTGGCACCCCCTTCTTTGTTTTCACCTAGTCTGCCCCAGGTCATTCGTGCGACCAGCACCACGACTGCCAGTGAAGGAACTGACCTCTCTCCATCTGCCCTTGAGAAGGCTTGCTTCTCTCTTTTTCCCATGAGGTTGCCAAACCAAGGTTGAGACATTACCGAGTTAATAAGGAAAAGAAAACCCAACACAAAAGAATAAGAATGGAGTCCTGTGAGTGGGCAAAGGATGCCAGACCAAACATGTCTTACTGATATTTGGGGAGCAAACTAGTGTGTTGGGTGAAATGAGTGAACTGGTCTTGTTTGAATAATGCTAATGTATGTGTTTGGGGGTGGGCGGGGGGCAAATGGTTGGAAATGCTCCAGAGGGATTTTAGTTAAAGTCAGGATACATATGAATACAGTAGTCCCCCCTTAGCCATGGGGCATTCCAAGACCCCCCAGTGGGTGCCTGAAACCACGGATAATACCAAACCCTATAAATACTACATTTTCCCCTATACATACATATTTGAAGTGTGACAGCAAAACTAGCATGAATTTCTTTTTCCTTCTTCACAATTCCATGGATAGATCTGTTCCTACAGTCGATCTGAGCAACCTTAGCATACGATTTTTTTTCTTTCCTTATTAAGTCTAGAACTTTTACCTTTTCACTTAAAGGAAGCATTTTATGGCTTCTCTTTGGCATATCTGAATTGCTAGCCTCCCTACTCTTGTACTTTGGGGCCATTATTAAGTAAAACTAAGGTTACTTGAACACAAGCGCTGCGATACCCAACAGTCGATCATGCTAACCGACGCCTACTAAGTGACTAACAGGCAGGTAGCGTGTACAGCGTGGATACCGTGGACAAAGGGGTGATTCACATCAGGGGCGGGATGGAGTGAGACAGTGTGAGGTTTCATCACACTACTCAGAACAGCACGCAATTTAAAACTTATGAATGGTTTATTTCTGGAATTTTCCATGTAGTATTTTCAGAGTGTGGTTGGCCACAAGTAACTGAAACCACGGAAAGAAAAACCATAGATAAAGGGGAACTACTGTGTGTACTATGGGTAAGCTACTGTCTGGTCCTCAAGGGAGCGAGGGATGAGTCGAGCGCAGTTCCTGCCCTGTTAGCTCACTCTGGAGGAGGGGGGCTGTGTTCGTTTCTTTCAGGGCGCCAGAGACCCTCAGGACACGTCAGAGGATTAAGGTTTATTATATGGGTACACACTGAAGTGAAGACAACCAGGAAGCCATCTTGGCAGCCACATGGCCAGGGCTCAAGGGAAAAAGAGATGTCTTTTGTAGTGTTCTGGATACAGCGTTGGCTTGGAGACCCAGCCAACGCTGACCACCATTCTCACCACACAGCTTCTGCAACTCTTTCTCTGTTGCCTGTACTACTACTGCCCTCTCTTTGGTCTCACGTCTACAACCCAGCAAGACAGGCTTGTCACCATGCATACAGGGACCCTCTATAGGAGAAAGTTTTGTGCCAGGCCAACTCATAGACTGTAGGCTTGGGACAGGGGCCCTGAGGCCTTCATTTGTTCTAACGAGCATTTAAAATGAATGCTCTGTACTAAGCTGTTTTGAGCACTGGGCCTCACTGATGGGGGAGATATATCATAACCAAGTAAAGAGATCAGACAGTTCCAGATAGGGCTGTGAATAAAAGGAAACGAATCTGATGCATGTTTGGGGGTGTGCGGCACCTTCGAGCAGGCGGTCAGGGAGGATTCTTGGAGGAGACGACAGTTAAGCTGAGACCTGGAAGGTGAGCAGGAGCCAAGTGTACGGAGATCTGGGAGAAGAGTTTTTCAGGCTGAAGGAACAGTAGTGCTGGGGTGGCGGCAGCTAGGCATGGTCACGGAATAGAAAGGAAGCCCGAGTGCTGGAGCCTAATGAGGGAGGAAGTGGCTCCAGAAGAGCTGAAGAAGCAAACTGAAGTCAGATGCCTGTAGCGTCTTGGAGGCCTTGATAAGAAGTGTGTATTTCATCCATGTGCTTTTGGAAGCCATTGAGGGTTCAAACCAGGCATGGAGGTGACATCATAGAATTCAGGTTTTTAGGGGCCGGCCCGGTGGCGCAGCATTTAAGTGCACATGTTCCGCGTGGGCGGCCCAGGGTTCACAGGTTCAGATCCCAGGTGCGGACATGGCACTGCTTGGCAAGCCATGCTGTGGTAGGTGTCCCACATATAAAGTAGAGGAAGATGGGCACGGAGGTTAGCTCAGGGCAGTCTTCCTCAGAAAAAAGAGGAGGATTGGCAGATGTTAGCTCAGGGCTAATCTTCCTCGGGGGGAAAAAAAGGATTCAGGTTTTTAAAAGACCGCCCCCCCCAGCTGCTTTGTGGAGACAGAACTGTAGGAAGGCACGAGCTGAAGTAGAGACCAATCGGGAGGCAACTGCTGTAATCCATGGTTTGGGTTAGGGTGGCAGCAGTGGAAATAGAAAGGAGGGGACAGAGTCAGGGTGTCTCAAAGGTCGGACTGACAAGATTTGCTAATGGACTAGACGTGGACACAGGGATGGGTACAGGTGGATGTGAAGGAGTCTGAGAGAGCCCAGGCTCCTGATCCAGGTACCAGAGACCCAAGTGACGTAAAGAGAACTGGAAAAGTCAGCATAGGGCATCGGACTTGAGAGGATGAACTGAATCTTAGACACACCGAATGGAAGCGCCCCTGGAACCTAAGCTAGGTGGTTCTCGGGGCCTGCGCAGGTTGGACAGACCAGCTGGGGCGGGTGTGCACTGCTGCCTCCACCACTTGATCAAACCTGGAAGTGACTGCTGCTGCTTCTTTTGCCCCGGGCCAGGTGCTGCCTGGGAGGGCCATGTGCCCTCGGGACTTGGAGATGAAAGTCCCCGCACCTAAGGTGCACTGATCTGTTTTTGGCTCTGGCCTGTAGGCTTGCTGACCACTTGCGGGCTGCTGCCACATCTTAGACCTTTACAAACTCTGACAGCGATTTTAAACTAAACCCGGTTGCCACTCAGTGTGTCCACCGAAGGACTGAGCCAGAGGAGAGTGGTGGAGAGCATGAGCTTGGGGCCAGACCCACTTAGCAGCTCTGTAGATTTCCCCGAGTTATTAATCTCCAGGCTCTCTCCTGTGAATGTACGGGAGCAGTGATTTCTCTCTCGGAGGATTAACAAAATATTGGTAAAGTGCTAGCGTAGCACCTGACACTGAGTAAACGCTCAATAAGTGACCTATTTATAGTTAATATTAGACAAAATAAGTCATCTTGGGAGGAATTGAGCCACGAAAATGTTACCCAATAAGCCATTCATTCGTCAAACACTTATTGAGCACCTACTGTGTGCCCCAAGCACTGTGGAGCACCATCAATGAATCGCACATGGTTCCCCTCTCAGGGAACTGATTCTACAGGTGAGAAAGATTTTATGATTTCCGTGCTGGAGGACTCTGCACTAGAACAGGGCTGCTTCTCTCTGGAGTCTTGTCCCTCCAGTACGAGTTCTTGCTAAGTCAGCACCAGCAGGCTCCTGTAGAGCCCCGAAGTCAGCAACCCCGGAACCTGAGCTTTACTACAACCGCTTCAGACGCTAAGCATCTGTTCTCTCACTGTTGCTCTGACGTCAGCTTTCCTGTCACCGCAGGACGGGTGATAGGAAGGTTCTACGGAGAGGATGGGCTGCCTACCCCAGAACTGACCCGGGTAGAAGCCATGATCACCAAAGGCTTGGAGGCCCGTCAAGAGGAACTGAAAGAGAAGCAGAAGTTCCCACCATGCAATGCCGAGTGGAGCTCAGCCAAGGGCAGCCGGCTCTGGTGTTCCCCAAACAGGTAAACACTTCTGCCCCTGCCCGCCTCTCTCCCTCAAACTGCTGGGCCGTCCTGTCTGTGTTATGCAGTGAAGCAGTGAATTCACTGTTGACCCAGGGGAACTTTTTCAAAATACCTGTACTCTGAGATAGTGATTCTTAACTTTGGCTACATGTTAGAATTTAAAAAATTACTCCTGGTGGGACGTCACTCCAGACAACGGGATGAGAACATTAGGATTGATATCTGGGCATCTCTCTCGCTCTCTTTGTTTTTTAATTCCCCAAAGACTGCTGGAGAAACCCTGGCCTGGGAACCAGAAGGCACAAGTACCATTTCTTGTTTGCTTTGGCCTGTCCATCCACCCAAGGGCCTCAGTTTCCTATTTGTCAGCACAAAGCCTTCCTGCCTACAGGAGAGGGATGGGGAGGTGCGTGGGGCCTTGCAGTGATGCCCTGAGGTGCTGTCTTAAAAACATTGCATAGTCTGAGTAATTCAGGGAAGTACAGGCTACATGGAGAAGCCCTTCCCCGTAAGAATAAAGTGAGGTGAGCCAGACTAGAACAGGGCTTATTCCAGGTCGCTTTGGGGAAGCTGGAGAAAAATATTTTTTTCCTGCTTTAATCATGCCAGCGTGGACTCAAATGCAGCTCAAGTCCCTCAAATCTCCTTTAGCTCTGGTAAGGGAAAAAAGAAGCCAGACTGGACAAGCCACCTGGGCCTCAAAGTAAGGGCCCAGCTCTCACTGCGGAGGGGCAAGGAAACCTGCTGTCAGTAGCGGAGAAGGGCCACTTCCCTAAGGCTAAGCTCTGAGAACCCACCCTTCTGAAGGGAGAGGCCAGCAAACAGCCAAAGCCACCAGCTGTCTCTAGGCCCGGCCACTGTATCCAGCACACATTTCCTCCGCCTCCATTCAGGGGAGCAGGGGCGAAGGGAGCGGGAAGGAAAGCCCCTTCTCTCCTGGCCATGAGTTTTGAAGAGACACAGCTTCTCCAGTGTCGTCGTGTCTCCAGAAAGAAGGAGGCTATGAGAACCTGGCCTGCCCATTTCAGGGGGTGGAGCTAGGACAAAGGTGGGCCTTGCTGGGACACAAGGCTGAATGCAGGTGGCCTCAGAGAGCACTGGTCCTCCATAGGAGGGTACCTGGAGGCCTGTGTGCCTTTAGATGCTTGACTTCGCTCCCTTGAGAGCCTACCTCTACCCACCCTGCCCCCTACAAGCCACCCCCACCCCCAGTCTTTGTAACCCCTTCTGGCTTTCATGACTGTGTTGCTTAGGCTCTGCTTTCCCCACAGTGCTGTTCCAGACCCACCCAGTGAGTTTGGCCCCGTCTCTATGCCTCAGCCCAATGTGTTGTGTTCTACTCACACACATGGTTCTCCCTTTAGACTCGGAGAAATGAGGAGTCCTGAAGGCAGGGACTGGGTGTGGAGCAAGAATGACTGATCATGGGATGGATGGCTGGAAGGAGGGAGGGAGGCAATTCAGTGCCTGACAGCGTTGTTCTTGGGAAAGCTACAAGTGGGAAGGTTTCTAACTGGGTGGCAGAGTTTCTCTGACAATAAGTGATCCTGGTCCCAGACAATGGAACCTATATGGGGCATCAATTCCAAGAGTCTCATTTTCCTTTTGCAAGGCCTGTGAGTCCATGGGAGACTGAACTCGGTATCCTAAGATGAGTTAGGACCTTCTGCCCAGGATAGGAGCCTGCTCCTCCATCTCTGAAGCCTGGCAACATCAAGTACTGGGCCTGCGCAAGGGAAAGGACAGCTGAAACTACCCCTATGCCAAGGGCCTCCCAGAGCAGGCTGACCCACCGGGCCTTGGCTTGTTGCCTCAGTTGCCCACCCCACCCAAGTGCCCCAGACCCCAACATCAAGTTGCAGCCCTGCACGGGATGTAGTGAGGAAGCGAGAAGAGAATCAGACCCAGACACTGCTTTTGAGAAGCTCACAGGCCAGTGGGGGATAGCCTTTCACAGGTGTTATCACCAATGCAGGGAAGCGGTGCTGCCTCCTAGGAAGGCACAGGGTGTGGGTGAAGGGAGCTGGAGGAAGTCAGGAGAGAGCATGAAGGTTCATGGGTGGAACCCTGCAGACCACCGCCTTAGAAAAACACCAAGAAGGGAAGTGGCATGGCTTCTACTTTTCACAAGCCTTGGCTCACTGCTTCCTCCTCTCCCCTTCCCAGAAAGACTCGTGAGTTCATGTTTTTAAGAAGCCCTCTTTCTTTCTATCCTTAGTGGAGGTGTGAGCAGAGACTGGATTGGCGTCCCCAGGAAGCTGTACAGGCCAGGTGCCAAGGAGCCCCACTGCGTGTGTGTGAGAACAACTGGCCCCCCTAGTGACCAGACAATGGACAACCCTATACATAGAAATCGTGGGGACTTGGACCACCCCAACTTGGGGGAATACACAGGCTGCCCACCCCTAGCCATCACATGCTCCTTCCCACTCTAAGCTGATGCCCTGTATGTTGATAACACACAGAGAACCCTGCCTAGAACCCTCAGAGGCCCTTGACTCACGTGCCCTAGGATGTTCCTGACATGCAACAAGAGGGCCTGGAAACACTCTGATCATGCTCTGCAAATGTGACTCATGCCCCCACCATGGGCTCACCATTCTGTGACTGAGGCTAGAGCCTGGCAACCTGCCTAGTACAGGTCAGCCTGTTTTTGCCACTGTCTGCCTAGATCCACTTGCCGTTCTTCAGAGCCCTCAGATATTAATGGGCACGAATATGACCAACTCGAAACTAACTGGGCAGACAAGCTAAAGGGCTCTGAACTCCCACAGCTTCATTCCCAGACTCCCAGGCTGCCTGGATCACCTGCCTATAACTCCTGACCTGCTCACGGCATCAGGGGCACTGGCAAAAAGGGACTTTGTCCCTTTACAACTCAGAAACAAGAGCTGCATAAATTCACAGCATCAACAGACCTCTGTTCCGTGTTCCTCACTGGCTAAACTTGTGACCCCTAACTTTTATAAGCTTTCTTATATGTAAGACCTCAACCCTAAGGCAAACTTGAATTTACAACCAAAAGTCACACAGAGTTGATTGAACCTGCGCCAAGACAGTGAGAAGTGACGATAAAATAGGAGAGTCTAATTCTGGAAATGGAAATGCTTTTGCTTAGATCCAGCAAATCCAGATACCTCTGAACAAAGCAACAATTTGAAGCTAGGATATTGTTTCTCTTTTAAACACTTAAAATTAGGTGTGGTGTGTTTTCAAAGGGAGAGGTCTGCATTTTGAGCAAAAGGTAGTTTCACAGCTCTCACAAGAGGACTGGCTAATGCAGCGTCCAATCTGGGCAAGCCTGCACACGCCAGCACACACAGCCTTGGCCTAGCGGTGCTGGGCTCGCACCTTTTCCAGTGGATCCTGTGTCCAAGGTCACCTGTAATCTCCTACACTTGACAAACTGCATGCCCATGACCTCTTGGATTCTTAAGTAGTTGGAGGCAGGAGTATTCCTCCTTTACAGATAAGGAGATGCAGACAGTCCATGTCTCTCCTCTGAGCCTTCCCCTCAGCTGCTGTTCCCAGCCCCTCAACTCTTATCCTAAAAATTCTCTATCCTTCTTCCTTTCTCCTTTTTTCTCTCCTTTATCATTCATCTCACTAAATAGCTTTCCAGATTCACTGACTGGAAAATGGAGGCTGCCCCCGCTTCACTTGCAGACTCATAGCTCCCTGCCCTGTGGCCACAGCGTTCCTGACGCCTGGACTTGACTCTTGCCTCCTTTGCCACCCCAAGATCTCCTCACCTGCCCTTCTAGTACGTGTGACCTCTCCCTGCCTCCTGGCTCTTCCCCCTAAGCAAGCATTAAACAGCTCACTTCCCTCACATCATAAATACACTCTCCCTCAATGCCACATTCCTCCGGAGCACCCTATCTACGTCCTGTCACGGCTAAGCTTTTTGAAAATGCTGTGCATACTCACCATCTTTGCTCCTCAGCCCCATTTACTGGGCAGCACAGCTGCCCGGCTTCTGCCCTTCTCTGCTCAACAGCAGGATAAACTCTGTGTTGGCAAAGCCCACGGCCACACTCAGTTATCACCTACCTGGACCTGTCACAGTCGAGGCCTCCACAGAACCCTCCCTTGCCTTTTCTCCCTCAGGCCTTTCCTTCTCAGTCTCCTTGAAAGCCGCCTCTCCTCTGTGAACTCCTTCCCACCAGCTCTCCTCACACCAGCTTAGACCACCAAATCTGTGTCCAGTCCAGGCGGCTTTCCTGGCATTTTGGTGGGCACCTCCAACTCCACACTTCTGGCGTTCAGTCTTCACCTGCTCCCTCGTGATTCTTCTAGTTCCCCTGGTGATGGTTCCGCCTGGCAACATCCTGGCAATCATCCACAACGCCTTCCTCTCCTGTTCCCTTCTCCCGTCCAGTCCCCAAGTTTTGGCCATTCTACCTGCTTATTCTCTCCTCCCCATTCCCTCTTGTCTGTCCCCAGCACTCCTCCTCTGGTTTAGGCTGTCATTTCCCACCCAGATTGTTGCAGGAATGGAACTGCACTCCCTCCTTCCAGTCCACCCCCCCGCCCCCCCGCCAGCTATGTTTGCCATCAGGGCATTCCCCACTTAAGCCTCCTCAGTGGCTCCCCATTTCTGTAAGGAGCAAGTGTTCACTCTTCAGCAGCGCGGCACACGAGGTCCTTCTACGGTCATCTCCTCTCAGCGTCTGTCTCTCCCGCCACAGCCCCAGGCGCTGCTCCCTCCAGCCTCCATCTCACTGCATTATGCCTCCACGGCCCTCAGCCAGGCTGGCCCTTCTGCCTGCAATGACCCCTCTTCCTCCGCTCAACGTGTCCACCTCTCTTCTCTTCAAAACTCAGCCCAATCAGCACCTCTTGGGAACCTTCGTTAATCGCTGGCCCGCCAGTTGGGTTTAGATGCACTTCTCCCTAGGTCCCCGTAACACCCTGTGTTTGCGTCTAAAATAGCAAAGATCACAGTGTTCTGTGACCACGAATTTCCTGTCAGCCTCTTGCACTGGACTGCAGACCCTTTGAGGACAGGAACCAAGAGGCATTGAGCTGTGTACCCCCATATCCACTGTACTAGCATGTGCTAAGTGCGCAGTTAGTTCTTATTTTGGAGATGAGGCAACCAAGGCCCAAAGAACTTAATAAGGACACAAATCAATGGAGCTGAGCCTAGAACTCAAGATTCTTGTCCAGATTCACAGTGCTATTTTCAACTCCTTCATAGTTCAGTGTGTCTCTGCCCTCCCTGGAGCAGGAGCAAACAGAAAGGAGAGCTGAAATGAGGACCTTGTTCCAAGTTCCACCCAGCCCTTGAACTCGGTGCCTGAGGCATCCCTGGTAACTGGCAGCAGCCCTCAGCTCCAGGCTAACTGGGACCTAGTCACTGTCACTGCTCTGGTCCTTAGTCACTCAACAGATATTTACCAAGCACCTGTGTGCCATGGGGCAGGGGCTGGGGGAAGGCGAGGCCGCTGACCTCAAGGAGCTTACAGTATGGCAGAGGAAACCCCTGGTGGGAGCACTCAGAGGCCATTCCTGGGGTAGGAATGCAGGGATAGTGTGGGGCCAGGTCCAGAGATGTTCAGACCTTTCCAAAAACAGGCTGAAAAAGAAAAGGAGCAAAACAAGGCCCACTTACTGTCATCCCAGCCAAGTATGGACTTGGGAGGCTCCTAGAGGGGCCTCATCTGACTGATACGAGACCCTTGAACTGCAGGACACAGTGCAGGACGCACTCAGCCAGCCCCAGCAGGTTGCTCACCGCCTTGCTCAATGAGAATTCATTTCCTCTTTGACGCCAACCACTTACTTCATAGTAAAAAGCCTCTTCACATCGGGGCAGTGGGTGAATCTTCAAAAGGATTCAGCAAGAGTAGGTTTAATGGTCATTTTAATGGTCCGAAGAGGTCAGCCATGAGAAGCTAGTGGTTACTGGAGGAATGCCTCTAGTTTCTCCCTCCAGTAGAAGTGGCTCTGGGCAAAACTATGGAGGAGGAAGGCAGCCCTCTCTGATGGAAGCCACAGAAAGTTCAGCTTGGGCAGTTAAGACTGGCAGTTAAGGCTGGCAGAGGGAAATGAAGCAAACTAGTATGTGTTGGGCAATTATGCTGGGCAGGACCTTCACCTCTTCTCATTTAACCTCTATGCCAGCCTTGAGAGGGACTCATTTTATGGTCCAGAAAAGGGCATAAATCTCCTCCCCCACATCTTCTACTGGTTACAACAGACATCGCACAACAGAGCTGAGCTTTTATCCCACGTCTGCTCTCTCTGCCATACATACCAGAGTTCAGTGTTAAAGCTAAGGCCGGGCAGCTGCCCTCCATCATGCCGAAGGAAACTGTAACATCTGCCTTTTCATTCTGAGATTCCTGTTTTCTATAAACACAGAACTAAGAGCAAAGAGCCTGGGAGTTTTTGCTCACAGCTCAACTGTACAGCAAAGGGAGCCGTATCAGACCACCACACCCATCCCTTGCTGCTTGGCTCCAGGACAAGCTGTGATCTGAAAGACATACCCTATGAACAGGCTGGAGATGTGTCTGTTCACAATCTGTGGGAGGCTGGCCCGGTGGTGCAGTGGTTAAGTTTGCACGTTCCGCTTCTCGGCAGCCTGGGGTTTGCTGGTTCGGATCCTGGGTGCGGACATAGCACCGCTTGGCAAGCCGTGCTGTGGTAGGCGTCCCACATAGAAAGTAGTAGAGGAAGATGGGCATGGATGTTAGCTCAGAGCCAGGCTTCCTCAGCAAAAAGAGGAGGACTGGCAGTAGTTAGCTCAGGGCTAATCTTCCTCAAAAGGAAAAAAAAATCTGTGGTGCCCCTCAGAGGAGGAGGATGACCTTGGGCTGACCCCCCGCCCTTGAGAGTACTTCCTACTACCAAAGCCCCCAGATTCCTGCAAGGAGGCAGCAGACATTGCCCCCGTGAGCCCTCATGGGAGGGGACTCTTGGTGTGCACATGAGGATCTGTGTACTTGCGTGAGAGGAAGGACACATTACTGAGCAGCTTCCTCAAGGCAACCCTGTGAGCTAGGAAGGACCACGGTCACTTCCATCTTACAGATATAGAAACGAAGGCACAGAAATTATGAACCTTGCCCAGTACTGTCACCTGATCAATGACGGAGCAGAGCTAAAACCCAGTGCTGTTCTCTGGCTGGGCAAAAACATGTGAGTCGATGCATGCCTGGTTCCTGTTTGTACTCACATTACGACGTATGATGACCTGTGTTCACCTCAAGGACGGCTATTAGGATTACTTGGGATTATGATGTGGAAGCACTTAACGGTGCCTATTATTTGTGAGAAAAGCCACCAGCGAATGAGATCTGTCACCACAGTCAGTCTGAACTGGGGGTAAGCGAAGTGGAAGACAGGTAAAGAAAGGGAAGGTTAGTTGAAGGGTGTGCGGCCAGGTGAGCTACTAGACTGTACGATTTGTCCAGGGCCTTCATGGGCCCCCATTTGCAAGCCCTGAAAACCTGCCTTAGTCTCCACTGCCACCCGCAATGCCAGTCCTCCCTTCAGACTGCGGCCAGCAGAACACTCCCCAGGGGCGGATCCTCTTGAGTTGTTCCTTAATAATGGAGTCCAGGAGGGAATTTCCAGCGTCCGCTGGAGAGCTTCTGTGGGATCGGGTGACTGGGACTGTGCAGCTGTGGTCACAGGCATTGCCATGAGCTGAAGTCTGGGCCAAGAGCACAGTCAATCCAGGCAGCTGGTCATTATGCCCCAAGAGCTACTTTTTGACTACTGTCAACAATATGTTTCTGAAAAGTGTTGGAAATTCAAACTTTCCTAGAAGGTAGCTGTTAAAGAAATTTATTCACATATTGGAAGTTTAAAATATTTGCTTGTTTGTTTTTAATGCTTATTGGTACTTCTGCATTAAAAGTAACTACAAATGTCTTATTAAAGTTTCCACTTTAAATGCACAATTTTACCTCATTTTATTATAAGGAATTGTTACAGAAAATGCAAATATCAATATTTGAAAAATACATTCCATTACATGGACTCCAAAGAAACAATGCTGATAAGCGCCATGGTCCTGTATGATGCCATCATCCCACCCTGAGATCACCCTGAACGGCTTGGAAGCCAAGGTGATCAACTCAAATGTGTGCTTGAGTTTCTGCCCGGCTGCTGCCCTTCCCCTTGGTATCACACAAGTATGTCATGGTAACAGCCAACTCCACACATTTGCCAAAAAAGGACAA